GCGGCGGCTCGAGGTGCTGACGCGGGAGCTGGAGCGGGCGCTGGAGGCGCGCACGGCGCGGGACTACTTCGGTGAGCAGGGCGGCCGCTCCCGGCTCGCGAAGCAGGGCCCAGGTGGCCGCGGCGTGGACACCGGCTAGGAGGACGAGTGCTGGCTGGCGGGGTCAGGGCTCGGGGTTGGAGGCGGCGGCCAGGAGGTGCAAGGAGTGTCGCCTGCAGCATTTCTTTGCAGAGGTGGTGTGAGCCTGACTGCCAGGTTCTGGGGTTTCTTAGAACAGCGGTTTTAACCTTCGGGGATCAGGCCACCCAAGGGATCTGGTAAAGTATGACGATAACCCGTTTTCTGCCTTGGAGGCCAAAGATCGGGCCAACAGAATAAACTCTTCTGTGATGATGTTTGTTTCTTAGCCCTGGGTATTTGCCTCTTACCCAGGTGTGTCCACTGACCCGGTGTCCCCCGCTGGTCCGCAGTTTTTTGGGGCGTGGGTGGGAAGGTGGGCCCTGCCCTGAAGGAACCCAGGTTTGGAGGATGATGAGGATTAGAGGTAGTGGGATGGAGAATAAGCCTACTGTGGGATGGGGCTGAGGGGGTGAAGCAGGAAGGATTCATACTTTGTATTTGGGATGTTTCTAAAGGATCTTGATTCACCTGCTTTGGCAAAGGCCCCCAGTGTCTGACTTTTAGGGAAAGAGGAGGTTCAGAGAGATGGGGTGGAAGTACCGTGAGGCCTCCGAAAGAGCTTCCCTTCTTTTCAGGAGAGCAGGACACGCAGGTGCAGGAGAGGGGTGGGTGGCTGTCATGCCTGGGACTGAGGCAGTCCTGGGTTATGTATCCACCACACATTTGTACCAGTTAGCAGCTCAGGGTTGCTTAGACCTGTATCTTGGGAGATGATCATGAGGCTGCCTGAGGCCACATGGGGATATTCCCAGCAGAGGGAAAAATGGGCAAAAGGAGGGAAGTAATGTGTGCCCTGTGGTCCTACCTGATTGATACTGGAAGCATCAATACCATTGCCACTGGTATGTCAAATACCAGCAGGGTCACCCATGGCAGACAGGTTCCAGTAGAGCTTTCAGACCAAGACTGACGAGGAAAAAACTTGGTAAACTATGTAAGTAGCTGTTGAAAAACCCCATGGATCATAATGTTGGAAGATGAGTCTCCAGAGTCTGAAAGACGCTTAGGAAAGCAGTGGTTGTGCTAACAGACTCAAGCACACCAATGGTTGTGAGCGTGGCGCTGGACTGGTCAGTGTTTCCTTTGTACATGGGCTCTCCCTGAATCAGAACTGTCTCGATGGCAGTAGAAAGGTAGTTAAGGTCACATGGCAACCAGAAGGGTTGGCCTACCTTTGGGATAGGAAGCACTGAAGGGTTTCCAGCCTATCTGGAATATGACAGGGTTAGAATTTGTGCTTCGGTAGGGCTTGGGAGCCTTGGGAGCAGAGACAGGAGTTAGGAGTCTGTTGTCTTCCCGTGCCAGCCAAGTGCCAGGAACAGAACTCGCTTCAGGGGAAGTTGCCCATCTTCCTGCATTCTGCACCCTGCAGGGCCTAGGGGGGTATGTTCTGTGGGCCCCCACAGCTCCCTGGGAATCTGTGTGGGAGGCAGGGGTGGCCACAGATCCAGGTAGTAATAGGAACTGTGTCGGGGCTGATGCTAAAAGATGGTCAGGGTTGGTGGGTCATTTTTCCTGAAGCAGAACTCGGCACCTGCTTCCTATAGCGTCTGAGAATGATGACAGATATGTGGCTTTTCAAGACAAGCTGGAAATTCAGATTTTGGGGATACTTTCCTGGGCTTTAAAAACTATGGGCAACCAATTTTCTTCAAATCTATACAGTTGGGCATTTGACCTTGTAGATTTGCAAAAGTTTCTGGGTAAGAGTGAAGGTGTAAGGGTAGATGAGTTCACTTTAGAAAGAGCGGCCCAGCTGGCATTGAGGGGATGTGTTGGCAAGGACCAGGCTGTGACATTGTTGATGGGAGAGCTGCTCCCATGAGGATTGCGGAGCGTCTGTATACTAATGAGGGGAAGGGATGAAGTCAAGACCAGGGGCAAAGGAGCCTAGGCATTGAGTGCGATTCAAGGTCAAGGACGGAAGAGGCAGGGAACTAGAGGCAGGAGCAGTGTGTGGGGAATCTGGAGCTGTGGGCAGAGGGGCGCAGTAGGGAGAGAAAGGGACTGCCCAGGAATACTGGGAAAGCCCCAGCCCCACGTCATTTATAGACGTGGTTTATTTGAACCCTGCATTTTCAAAGCATGTAAATTAGTAGTTACTTTTAGTATCAAAGGATTTCACTTACATGTCTAGAGTTCTAGCTTTCCTTGGAGAATTAGAATCTCTGATAACACCAGGCTGCTTCCTTCCCAGTAGCTATCCGGAAAGCTGAGGTGTGGCCGCCACCTCTGGTGTTTGCTAGCATTTCCTTTACTCACCCGGGTCCCCATCTGCCCACCTTTTACATTCCCACCTAGTTTTGAGGACCATTGACTTTGGTCTCCCTGGGAGGCATGGGAGACCCAGCACAGAGTTGGGGAAGAAGAAGAAGAAGAAACAAAGGCCCAATGTAGGTGAGACCCTGGAAACCAGAGTAGAGGAGATGCCCACCTCTAGCCAGGTCAGAACCCAAGAGTCCCCAGATCCAGACATTTAGGAGATGATTGGAGTGTGGGAAAGTTGGGATTGCTGGTGAAGTAGTGGGGGGCCTTTTCATGGTGCAAGAGGTTTGAGCATGCTTATATGCTGAGAGGGATCTGGTAGACAGCAAGAGGGGGTAGAAAAGGACACCATTTCCTGGAGCACGTCTTCCTGTCCTGTTGGGTGTGGGAGACCCTGGGTAACTGTGAAGGGGCTTAGCTGGCTTCCTACTGTCTAGGTCCACCCCCACCCCGGGGTGGGGCAAGGGAGAGGGCTGCCCAGGGACATGCCTTTGGGCTACAACTGGGGATTCACCTGCCAGTGCTACTCATTTCTCCCTTCTGCCCATCTTCCTGGCTGCTGAGCTGCCCACCTTGCACTGCCAGGGATGGACTCCAATTTCATCCAACATTCCCAGATACCTGCATACCAGCTCCCTCCCACATTTCCTTTAGGCCTTTGTCAGTGACCCTTCCCCAGTAACCCCAGTTCTGCCAGCTGTATTTTTTCCCATTGCTCATATTTCCACCTGACATATGGCTGAACTGGTGGTGTGTGTCTCCTTCCATAGAATGGAAGCTCCTTGAGGGTAGGCCCTTTATTTCATGCACTGCAGACTCTCCAACATCTGAACTGTGTTAGGGTTGTGACAGGCCATCAGTGTCTGTATAAATGAGCATGAGAATAAAGACAAGGCTTTCTACTCCCGTAAAGAGTCACAGTCCTGGAAGGTCACAGGGGTAGTTCTACTCGGTCCTTTGGGGTCGCTAGGAGTTGGCACTGACTCAAGAGCAGTGAGTTTGGTTTGGTTTGGGTTTATGGTCAGAGGAAAGAAAGTATTGCTTGGGAGGGTCAGTGACTGCCCTGCTGTGTGCCTGTGTGGTCTTAGCTCTGTGTATCAGAAAATGTGTGTTTTCAGTTTGGAGAATATGATTTGGTTCATAGAAAAAAGATTGTACCTCAGTCCAAGAGCAGGTCATGAGCACAGGGGCTTAGCCTGACTTTTTAGGCATAAACCTTTGTATTTGATAATAGTCATTATCATCAAATAACGTGAGGACAGCTTTAGTTAGTTCTGACCGAGTGCCAGGTACTTGGCTAAGCACTGAACGTTCAAAACGAAAGCAGCAGGGAGAGAAGATCAAGCAATGGGCTGGACTGCGATGGGTGTTAACTTGGGCTAAGTGGAAGTCCACGAGAGGGAAAAGAGAAATCAAGGACCGGATGGGGGATAAACTATTGGGGATGGGGCTGATTAGTAGTTTAAACTGTTGAATACAAAGTTGATGATCTGAAATGTGAACCTCCACCTAATTCACACTAAAAATTGTTACAAAAACAAGCAAACAATAGCATCACCACCAAACTAATTGGCCCCATGTTAGTCATATGTAACCAAGTGTTGGAAGCCTAAGGAAGTTAACTTGCCCAAGTCAGACCCTGGTCAGCATCAGGGTGGGGCGTCGGATGCATGTCCATCTGACTCTCCATCCATGGTACTAAGTCCTGCTCTCTCTTGCATCTTTTCCCATAGGCATTTGCATCAAGTGTGGGCTTGGTATCTACGGAGCAAGGCAGGCTTGCCAGGCCATGGGGAGCCTGTATCACACTGACTGCTTCATCTGCGACTCATGTGGTAGGTAACTTCTCCTCCTATCCACTTGCACCTTGAACGGAGAGAGCTAAGCTCTAGATACGTGGACCACCTCGTTGTGCCCCAGGCTGGAGTACAAAGGAGGCTTATCATGATATCTTATGCAAATAGGTTGTGGCCTTTCCCTCTGGACCTGGCCTGTTTTGAGAGTCAGGACCATGGGGAGATCTGCTGCCCTTGGGAGGTAGGTGAGGAGCTAATGAGCTGGCCATAGGGGACAGCTGGACTTGGGACCAATCTTCCCTTTTAATTAAATTTTTTTCTTTTAATTTTATGTATACTATAAGTCATCAATGTTTAATTTAATCTAGACAATAATTTTTTAAAAGGTGAATAAATCTGCACTTGGATTTTTCTGTCATTCTTTTAAACCTTATCCTTCAGTAGGATTTTTTTTTTCTTTCAGTTTTTTATGTTGTCTTTTGCTATTTGTGTTTTGTGCGTGTAGCTTTATTTATTGTGATTAGAAGCCCTGGACCACAGGATGGCGGTTCAAACCCAGCAGCCTGTGCAGGAGAAAGTTGAAACTAATCTATAAAGATTCACAGTGTTGGAAATTCTACCGGGGTCTCTTGAGTTGGAGTAGACTCAATGGCAGTCAGTTGGTTTGGGTTTATTGAGAATTAGGTATAAATTTATGGCGCAAATTGATTTTCCACTCAAAGATTCCGAGCACTTTGTTTCGTGACATCGAGTGCAATCTCCACAATGTAACGGCAGTATTCTCATTTCCCCGTGTTTACCATTTCCACTTGTCCTTCTTTCCTAGCGCTTCACGAGGAGGCCTACTCCTGGCAGGGTGGCTATCTTGGAAACCCACTGGGACAGTTCTGCACTGGGACACTGCCACTCGATGGCAGTGAGTTGTTCATATCTTCTGAGCTTTGTCCTGGACAGATGCTGTCTTTCCATCTCCTATGGTTGATTGTTCTGAGGCGTGTGTATCTCCCTGGGGTTATCATTGACCTTTCAGGCCTGCCTCTTGTTGGGCTGAAAGTTAAGTAATGGGAGTAAATTCAAGTTTAGGTTGGAGGTGACTGAAAACCATAGCCTCTGGGGTTCCCACAGTCACTATCAGACCGGTAGGTCAGGTTTTAAAAATGTTTATTTTGAGTTTTGTTCCACATTTTTCTCCCTTTCTGTGCAGGAGCTTTTAGTGTCTCTCTTTCAGAGTGGGCCAGCAGTGTGGCTGCGTACTCCATCGTTCTTCTAGTCTCGGGTTGTGGAGGTTGATGTCCATCAGGGCTGCCATCCCTTTGAACTAATTATTTCCATGAGCCTTTGCTTTTCTTTACTCCTCTGTGCTTTGTATGGGGAAAGACCAGTAGTGACGTCTTGGATGGCTTCGCACACGCTTTTAAGACTTCGGTCACCACACACCAAAGAGAGGATTGTCTTTGAAGGCTGTTATGCGGGTGACCTTGAGCTGCCAGACCCAGGGACTCATTCTCACAGTGTGTTTGCTTGTGGCTAAGACATTTTCATAACTTTGTAAACTGGCGTTTTTGAATTACTGACACGAAAGAAATAATAAATGAATCTTAATATTTTATTTTATAAAAGCCGCTGCATACATGCAGTTAATTCAACCATCCTGAGAGGCTTATTGTAAAAAACACTTATCTTTCCACTTATACTTCCATTCTTCAGAGGAAGCCTCGCTTTGTGAGGCAGCAAACCTAGCTTCCCAGAGAAATGCACAGGAGCCACCTCGCTCCACAGTCACGCCTCCTGCCCAAGGGCACTCAGGCTTTCCCCCACCCCCACCCCCACCCCGGGCTAGAAGGTCCACCACTCTGTCTCATGCTCTTGGTGCTCTTGCCTCCGTGGCCACCAGTTCTCCGCCATCTCTCAGCACCCAGTCTCTCCTAGATTGAGGAGGAGTTTTAGTGCAGTGCAGGACTCTCAGGCTCCAAAGGACATCCTTTCCTTCTGGCTCATCTTTCTTGATGGGTGTGTGATCCTTTTTATTTTTTTTCCTAAATTTTAAATAATTTGTAGATACTGAATTATTACTACCAATATATTCCTTTTCCCTCCTTTTTAAAAAAAAATCATTTTATTGGGGGCTCGTATAACTCTTATCACAATCCACACACATCCATTGTGTCAGGCACATTTGTACATTTGGTGCCATCATCATTCTCAAAACATTTTTTCTACTTAAGTTCTTGGTATCAGCTCCTCAGTTTTTCCCCTCCCTCCCCCACCTTGCCTCCTTCATGAACCCTTGATAATTTATAAATTATTATTAGTTTTTCATGTCTTACACTGTCCAATGTCTCCCTTCACCCACTTTTCTGTTGCCCGTCCCCCAGGGAGGGGGTTATATGTAGATCCTTGTAATCGGCTGCCCCTTTCTCCCCACCTTCCCCTTCCCTCTTGGTATCGCTACTCTCATTATTGGTCTTGAGGGGTTTCTCTGTTGTGGATTCCCTGTGTTTCCAACTCTGATCTGTACCAGTGTGCATCCTCTGGCCTAGCCGGATTTGTAAGGTAGAATTGGAATCATGATAGTAGGGGAGAAGAAGCATTAAAGAACTCGAGGAAAGCTGTATGTTTCGTTGGTGCTATACTGCACCCTGACTGACTCGTCTCCTCCCCTCAACCCTTCTGTAAGGGGATGACCCATTGCCTGCAGATGGGCTTTGGATACCCACTCCACACTCCCCCTCAGTCACAATGATTTGATTTTTTGTTCTTTGATGCCTGATAACTGATCCTATAAGCACCTTGTGATCACGCAGGCTGGTGTGCTTCTTCCATCTGGGCTTTGCTTCTGAGCTAGATGGCTGTTTGTTTATCTTCACGCTTATAAGACCCCAGACACTATATCTTTTGAAAGCCAGGCACCATCAGTTTTCTTCACCACATTTGCTTATGCACCTGCTTTGTCTTCATTGATTATGTCGGGAAGGAGAACATCATGGAATGACAGTTTAATAGAGCAAAGTGTTCTTGCATTGAGGGAGTACTTGAGTTGAGGCCCAATGTCCACCTGCTATCTTAATACTAAACCTATAAACCTATAAACATATACACATAGATCTATTTCCCCATCATCATATATAAATATATTTACATATGTACATGCCTGTATTTAGATCTCTATAAATGCCTTTTGCTTCCTAGTTCTTTCCTCTATTTCCTTTTACTTTCCTCTTGTCCCACTATCATGCTCAGCCTTCATTTGGGTTTCAGTAATTCCTCTCAGATACATTACCTTGATCAAGCCCTACCAGGCCTCTTACACCCTTCTCACCATCAATTTTGGATCAGTCGTTGTTCCCTTGTCCCTGGGGTTGTTAACACCATTTCCTTTTCCCCACCTCCTCCTCTCCCATGTCCCCCAGAACGATCAGTCCGTTGTTTTCTCCTCCAGTTTGTTTATCCTGCCTGTCTTATCTAGATAGACCTGCAAAGATAATAATACGCACAAAAAAAGACAGAGCAAAACAAAGCAACAAAACAAAACAAAATAACAACAAAAAACCAAGAACAAAAAAAAGAAAAGCCTGTAAATAGTTCAAGGTCTGTTTGTTGACCTTTAGGCATGTTCTCCGGTTGAGTCTGATGGGGTGCCACACCCTGGCTCCACAGTCTATTTTTGGTATTCCCTGGGGACTTAATTGCTCTTTTTCCCCTTGCTGTTCAGTTACACATCCTTTAGTGTTTCGCCTCAGTGTGGTGGGGTCAGATCAAGCCAATTCCCGCACTGTGACCAGAAAACCAAGCTCACAGACACCCAGTCAATGCTGACTTGTAGTGACCCTATAGGACAGGGTAGGACTCCCTCTGTGAGTTTCTGAGACAGTAAGTCGTTACAAGACCAAAAAGCCCCATCTTTCTCCCAGCTGGTAGTTTCAAACAACTGACCTTGTGGATCTCAGCCCAGCAGTTCACCACTATGCCACCAGGACATGGGATCGATTTATATACATACTTTAAACACGGAAGCCTTGGAGTTGCACAGCCTGGCTGAGGACAGTCTGTTGATATTGGTGTAAGCTTTTTTGGTCTATTAGATGAAGGTTTGTAGAGCAGACCATAGTTTTATATTCAACAATCCATACACGTTTTATTGCAACTCATCCATTACAATTCTCTCAATGTACCATCCTTCCTCCCTGGGTTTCCAGTTTCTATTCCTGCTTCTTTCCCAACCCTATGAACTTTGTTCTTGGGTAAAGGCTGCTCTTTTGATCTTAAATGGTGCATTGTTCTAACACCAGGTGAGTTTAGCTCCAGACCACAGGGGTTACTAAGAACCACTTCTCTCAGGTCTGTCTACATAGGATAGGCTGGATGAACAATCTGGAAGAGAAAACAACGGGACCGATGGTTCGGGGGGACATAGGAGAGGGGGAGGTGTTAACAAACCCCAGGGAAAGGAAGCGGTGTCAACAAACCCCAGGGACAAGGGAACAATAAATGATCCAAAATCAGTGGTGAGGAGGGTGTAGGAGGGTTGGTAGGGCTTGATCAAGGGTAATGTAACTGAGAGGAGTTACTGAAACCCAAATGAGGGCTGAGCATGATAGTGGGACAAGAGGAAAGTAAAAGAAAATAGAGGAAAGAGCTAGGAGGTAAAGGGCATTTATAGAGCTCTAAATGCAAGCATGTACATATGTAAATATATTTATATATGAGGATGGGGAAATAGATCTATGTGCATATATTTATAGGTTTAGTATTAAGGTAGCAGATGGACA